GACTGTAACTTGGCATTAAGATGGGATCTTCAAGATAAACTACATAGTATGTTTAGTTAGGGATGGAAGAAATAGCTATGTTGAATTCAACATGAGGATAGTAAAACTCAAGACAGCTTTCAGAATTAGGTAAATTTGTGGACTGCTCTAACTTGGACTTAGTAACTATTCTTTGAGAAGCTTCTAATGAGCATTCTAATTACAGCACACTACATGATCCATTCATCTCTAATATCCACCTGTAGCACCAACAGGAAAGAGAATATTTACCTCTTAAAATAAAGCGTGTTTGTAAAGCAATTCCATTTGTAAAATTCCTTTCCTTCATTGTGCTTGTGTAAAAACATGCACAAGTTTGTGACAGATAGGAAAGTGACAAATCACAAGTAGAAATACTGTGATTCTTAAAAAAAAAAAAAAAAAAAAAAAAAAAAAAAAAAAAAAAAAAAAAAAAAAAAAAAAAAAAAAAGGAAAAGCAGTCTGATATTTACAGCTTTAGAGGAGGAGACATTTTTGAGATTGTGAAATTCTCTTTGCAGAGTTTTTCTCAACCATTTTGCTTTGGAGGAATGGAAGAGATGGTAAGGTTTTCTCTAACAAAAATGTCTACTTTAAATAGTTTCAGGAGCACAAATTCATGACCCACATTTCTTCTGCTTGCTAAATTGTCAGCTTCTAGATGGATTCTCCTATTTAAATTCTGTAGATGTCAGTGCTCTTGTGTAACTATGTTAACTAAGTTAGTTATCATTTTAGTAAATTAAAGGAATCAATAATTACATATCCTCAGTAGAGGGGTTAGAAAAGAGCTGAGTCCCATCACCTGCATGTCATACATGTCAGAGCATTCCATATTCTTATCAAGCTTCATCTCAAAAAAGAAAAGGGTTTTTGTATCCCTGCTTAAACTGCTGGACTATTTCTAAAGTGTTTCAGTGTTTGAAAGACTTTTGATTTACAATCTAAATTTATCCCTGGCCACTTCATATTTGCTTTCATGTCAATGTTATCATCTAGCTTAAAACTCTTTCCTCGGTGCAGGTGCATGTCTCAGATAGACTAATAGCTCTTCTTTTTTTCTAGCTGTGGTCAATCTCTGATTTTTAAGCTGGATGTAGTTTATGAGCAGCTCAAGTGCATTTTCCTTTCTGGAGCTTAACTTTGTACTAAGCAGGAAGGTGGTGTCATACAATTGCTGGTTAAGTCAAATATCCAGCTGTGAAAGTAAATTAGTAAAATAGGCCATCATTACCCCATTTAACCTACACCCCAGATTACAGGCTATAGGACCAACAGCTGCAAGCCTATTACCCAGCATCAGGATAGAAAAAACATTAGAAGGCATCATTTTCTACTTTGAACTACTCTCACTGCTTCCCTTCCTTAAGCTCCTCAAGTCTATAGTGTGTCTTTTGGCAATCTGAAGTTTTCTGTGTGAGACTTGAAACGTATACTCTGAAATAAGCCCTCTCTTCTACATATTTCTTTTCATTCTATCTCAAGAAACTATGCATACGTGAAAAGCAGTATCTTACATGTTAATATTTTTTTCTTTCAGAAAACCTTGAACGTGACAGTCTCACATACTCTTAAGTTAACTTTATAATCCAAACTGTGCATCTAAATTCCAATTTGAATTTTTCTACCTCTCTCTCATTAATTATTCTGCATTTTCTCCTTAGAATAAATGCCCACTGCTTTCTGCCCCTCTGAGGTACTCAAGCACTTCAGTCACATTCGTTTTCAATCTTCTTTCTGATAAGCTAAGCAGATTAAACTTTTAACATTTTACTGTAAGGAATTTTCCCTTCCTCTCAGATTATGATTTACTAGTCTTGTTCACTATCTTTCCTAATGCTCTGATGTCCCTGCAAAACACAGGATCTGATGCAATGTCCCAGGACTGGCCTCATTAATATCATATGAAATAACTGACCTTCTTATTCCTACTCTTTTAACCTTTCCACACCAATGGATAATACAGTAGCACAGATAAAACTTTATCACAGAAATTGAATTGTTCAATTTGAATTCTGAATTGTCTTCTGAATCACTACTTTCTCCAACTCTATCCACAGTTCTGATCGATACACTGCTAATATCCTTCCTTCACTGTAGTACCCTACCTTTCACAGTACTTATTTTACTTAAATGGATTGCATTTAAGAAGTCAGGTTACCTCCCTGCCCTCATCAGAACGTAACTCAGTGGGTTTTTTTTTCATGATGTTGTGATGCTTTTTGATTTTAACTCCACATCATAGATGGCAGTACTGGCCATCATTCTTACCACAATTCACTGCGTAGCTTTTGTGTAGTATTTAGGATGGAGGTGTGGACAGAGAAGCTGTGTCTTGGCTGTGACAGATTGCAGCTTACTCTAAGTAACATTTTCATCCCACTTAATCTAACCTAACAGTTTCTGGCTCAAATATGACTCATGCAATTGTCACAGACCTGTGAATTCTGGATGTTTCCTTGTTTCTGCCCATGAATTTCCAACCTGACAATCTGAAAGATATGATGTAAAGCTTACTTCTCTCTTCAAATGGTAGGTGAACACTGATTGAATGGACAAAACAGATGAAAGATATGTAATTGTAGCCCTGATGGTTCTAATTTTCTGTTTATGCCTGTTTTTGTAGAGCAGTTTATTTGAAACAAATATTCCCACTCTAACTTTTGATGGTCTAAATTCAGCAACTCAAAAATATTTTAAATAAATTTTTGATAATTTTTCCATGAAGTTGTGATGCTATTATAAAGCAGATCAATTAAGAATATTTGGTAGTGAAAATAATGTCTGAGGTCAATAAGAACAGGATGAGAAGCAATAATTTCAAACTGCACTAAAATGAGAAGAGTTGGATATTTACTGGATTAGAAAGAGAATGTGTTCTCAAGCTACAGGAAGAAATGAATGAGGTTAGCTACTAAAGGAGACTGTAGAAGCATTTACAGAAGCATGATACTGAAGGTGATAACAATTTTTTCATAAAGATTTAGAAAGAGAAAACAAATTCGAGATTTATAAATAAAGTAGAAATATGCCAATCAACTTTCACATAAATACCAGATCAAGTTTACTAGAAATTTTTAATTCTCTTCACTTTTACTATTACAAATAAAAGATGTAATTACCATTTTTCAATTAAAATATGAACAAATGACAGTAGTCTAGAGATTTCTATGTACGTATACTGTCAGTATCCAAATTTGCAATACTTAATACTGAGGAATTCTTTATTTAAGTTCTGCTAAGAGAGTGAATTGGTATTGTTAGAATGCAATGAAAGAAGTAGAGAAGAGATTCATATCTTCCTGCAACACGGTTTTTACCAGAAGTCAGCACAAACAGCAGAACCTGTTTATTGTTTTCTTCAGAATTCAAAATCAAAGAATCATAAAGGATGGAAAAGACCTCCAAGATTATCCACCTAGCACCTATCACCAATATTTCCTCACTAAACAACGTCACTTAGTACAACATCTAAACATTCCTTGAACAGCTCCAGAGATGGTGACTCCACTACCACCCTGGGCAGATCATTCCAGTACCTGACCGTTTTTTCAGAGAAGAAATTTGCCTAATATCCTACCTGAACCTCTGTTGGCACAACTTGAAGTCATTTCCCTCTCATCCTATTGCAAGCTATGCAAGAGAAGAGGCCAAATCTCACCTCACCACAACCTCCTTTCAGGTAGTTGTAGTGTATAATAATGTCTTTCCTGAGCCTCCTCTTCTCCAGCCTGAAGATCCCTCAGCCACTTCTCGTAAAACTTGTACTTCAGTCCCTCCACAGCTTCTTTGCCCTCTCTGGATACACTCCAGACTGAACACAGCACTTGAGGTGTGGCCTCTCTAGTGATAAGCACATGAGAAGACCACCTCCCAGCTCCTGTTGGCAACCCTATTTCTGATACAAGCCAGGACGCCATTAACGTTCTCAGCCAACTGAGCACACTCCTGACTCATGTTTAACCAAGGACTGACCAATAGCTCCAGCTCCATTTCTTCTACAGTCGTCCAGTCACTCTGCCCCACGCCTGTAACGCTATCTAGAGCTGTTGCAGCCAAAGTGCAGGATCCAAAGTCCAGGAGTGGCTTTAGTTATGTAATGCTACTCACAATTTTATTGATATATATTTAGCTGTGTTGTTTTTATAATGATTGCCAGCTGTTAAGTAAGATTTCCATGATAATAAAGACCTTTTCTTCAGGTCCACATGGCTGATCACAATGCTGATATTCTTCTCTCCTGACATGTGCAGAACACACTTTAGAATGTCAGTGGGAATTCTGCACACACATGGAGAGGAGGCTACAGGAGATGACATTTTCCATGTGGCCCTGAGATGAAAATTTTGCCCTAAGATAGTTCATTCAGTAAGTTTTTTTCTGACTGCAGCAGTCACTTTTGCTTTAATAGAAAATGAACCTTTAAGACAATGTAAAGGAATACCATTTGCCAAGGGACCGTTTGATGTGTAGGTTTATGTTTAAATATCAACGTGAAACATTCACTGATGAAAAACTAGTGATGGTAGTATTTTTCCATGAATGATCCTCACAGGTTTTACTTCTGATCAACATCATACCCAGTCAGACTGACCAATCTTAGAGCAGATTCCAAACTATGATATCCCACAAGCATAACTCTAATACATTTTTTTTAATTCTGTGGTAATACTTCAAAAAAATGTTGACTAGAAGTGTAATTAATCTCAAGTAGTCCTGAGGAAGAAGTAACAGAGTAGGTAGCCTAAAAAATAACATTTGCATATAAAATAACAAATTTAAAAAAACCACTGGTTTCTAGTTCTTCGCTATTACTATTTTTTGAAGGTTGAATATCATGAAACGCAGTATCAACTTTGCTGTTTTCCTGTTCATACACAAACGAATAAAGTGATTGACTCTGCAAAATCAGTTTTCCTAACAAAATATCTAACAAAATGTTTTGTTTCTGTTGTTTTTTTCTTCCCCCCACGTCTTCTTAGCTTGGTAGCTACAAAGGAAACAGACAGTGCAAGATCCCGTAGCATGCCAATGTCACCTTCTGATTTCTTGGATAAACTAATGGGTAGGATGTCGGGATACGATGCAAGGATCAGACCAAATTTCAAAGGTAATTTCAAACGTAAACTTCCAAATAATTCAGTATTTCTTCTTACAAAAAAGATAGAAAGAATATGAAAACCTAGAAATATGCTTCTTTTTTAAAGTGAATTCCCTTTTCTGTTACGGTTTCAGTAGTATTACGCTCTATACCTATCATTTTCACAGCTGAACTAATGCAGATTTTTAGTCTTGTACCTATTTTTGGACTGTCTAATAGTTTTCTTTTTTCTCTTTCCTGAAATATTTGTTAATGGATTTGAATTCCCAACTAGCACAACAGTAGTCTGAAGTAACCTAGAAAGGAAGTTGCATGAAACACTTGCCTGATGCTGGATATAAGGAGTATATTATGAACATAACATCGGAATCAAACTCAAGAGTTTGTCTTAGTCATCAAGTCTATAATGAAATTCTCCAGTAACATTAGATTCCTCTTGTGCCTCAAGTACTGTATTTCTTCTTGTTCTTTACCCTTTTCTCAGTTCTCCTCTGAAACTGCAAGTTCTTGATAACTAGAATTATTGTTGTTATATGCCTTGTTGACATTCATCATAAAGAAGATTCAAGTAAGAAGTACAAAGTTTGCAAATGCAAATATTGCATGTTCTTTAGCACAAATCATACTACTCAAATGCAGGCATATTTAATAGAAAGATAATACATACATACCTGATATGTTATCATGCAATTACACAAACAAAAATACAAAAACGCTACACTTTCTGACTTTCGCAGTCTGGGAATTTCAAGTAGATTTGACACCTTTTTTCAGAATGCAGAATTCCAGTAATGTAGTGGAACTATACTTAGCCCTAATTCTGAATCTATATCTCAAGCTACTAGTCTTTAAAATTCTCCAAAATATGAACACTTTTATAGAAAGAATAAAACTGTTGTGATTTAAAATATTACTTATTTTGCCTTAGTTGCCTCTCCCTTTGCTTTGATTGCAATGAGTTCTCTTAGCTCCAGCTTTTTATTATGTTTACTACAAAACTTTCCTTTGAGCAGACAAGCCTTCCCCCTCTGAATCATCTGTTGCTACCTTTACAACTTAATTTTTGTCTGGCACTGATCTTTATAGTTTGAGATCACCACACCTCAGTAACTTCAGTAATAATGACTCTTAAGCACTGTTATTTGCTAATTTTGCCAAATTTGCCCAGAATAATTCAAAAGTACAAGGTAAGTAGTTTGTCAACTTACTTCCTCACCAGTAAGCCATAAACAGTCAGTACTGCATGTGTAAACTCATTATCAAGGATTTACCACATCTGGAAATACTTCATTTTTAGTTAATTACCACCGCTGATCTTTTTCAAGTAAGATAAACACGCATTGGGAATTCAAACACTTCACTGAAAGATTTACAACAATGACCAATATCCCTCATGTCTATACAGTATGAGTCCCTCAGGCTAGGCTTGTCTGAAGCACCCGGGGGAATTGAGGAATATTCCAGTGATGTGCTTTCCAGAGGGTCAGTGTATCAAACAATACTTGCAAAGCAATGCAAAACACTCCACATCTAAAACTGCTTTCTTATATGAACAGAAGCTTTTAATTTATTTTTGATCTTGTCTTAGTTTCAGCTGGAATGAATTTTTGCCTGAGTGTCTGGTGTGATGCTATTTTTTTATTCTAGGATAAAAACAATGTTGATAGCACACTGATGTTTATAGCTGCTGCTAAGAAATATTGTACATAGCCAAGGCCATTCACAGTGTAGGGCTCAAGGAGCTGAGAGGGAGCAGAATTAGGATATCTGTCTTACACTGTCCAAAGGGATCTCCCATACCACATGACATTACGTGGAAGGATTTTTGAAGGGCATAGGAGTTCATATCACCTTCTTCTGCTGCTCAGGGGATGGTAAACAATTGCTTATGCATCACTTTTTCTATATATTCTTATATATGCATATATTTATAATGCATAATTATTATCTTTTTTGCTATTTTAGTAAATAGTTTTATCTCAATCCACAAGTTCTACTTTTTCCCCACTCCCCCAATTCCCACATCCCACTGAGAAAGGGGCTAAGTGAACAATATGTGATACTCAGCCACTTGCCAGGTTATATCACAACCTTATTAAAATTATCGTGCCTTGTTTCCATACTATTCCCCTTAGCATGTAAACTACAGGTTCAACCTAAGCTAATGCTTTGAGAGGCAATGAAAGACCTCAAGAAAAATCTAAGCACTGCAGTTTTTCTTCAGTTTTTGGGTCTCCTGAAGCCCTGCAAATAAGGGCTAAAAATTTGGAGATTACAGTTTAGGGATTGATTTGGGGATTGGATTTTGGAGTTTGTCACAGACACAATGCAGTCTTCTGCTGGGACTACACTGAAGAGCAGACAGATGTTTAGAGATTAGTGAATTCAGTGTAGTACTTCTTGAATATATAATTCAGAAGACTCAGAGCCTTGTTTTGTAACTATTGGAATTTAAAGAGACAAAACCTAATTTGACATTGTTCTTTTTCAGAAAGTGCACATTCTAAATCTTCTAGACAGCTATGCAGTTTGAACAAATCTGCCCAGAATGATTCAGATCTATCACTAAGAATAAGTGTCTCCTGAAGTGACTTTGCCACTTTCTCGTTAGCTGTGTTTGTCATAGAACAAATACTGTAGTTTTGTCTTTATGAGTTTTTAATTTGGTAGCAGTTTTAAAGAAACAGACAAAAGAGATTTCAGATAATCATTTTATGTTGCTTTTTTTTTTTTTTTTTCTTTCTTTCAATAACATTTCTGCATGGACAAGATTTTAAATTAACATTCAGTTTCATATAGGAAAATGTAATTTGTTCTTTGCCTTGATATTGACAAACAACACTCAGAAATCATTTATTTAGGAACTTCTTAAGTTCACGTAGGTCCTGACTTACTTTTGACTCAGTGTTTTATGGCAATAAAATTGTGATGTTTTGCACTTGTGCAAAGTATTATTTTTTTGTTCAGTTGAATATGGTCACTACTTTATTGCCACATGCCTTATTAAAAAAAAAAAATGGAGAAAATTCCTTTTGACATTTACAGACTTTGTGTTTATATATTGCTCCCTACTATATTCCTTTTTCTTTTTTCCCCCAAAGTTAAAACCAGCCATCTACTTATGCTGGTTTTTTTTTTTCAGCAGTAGTTTAGAGAGTTTGTCAACCTTGACTTTCTTCTTGACGTTTTTTTCTCCCTAATATATCATTTTAAGGTGGACAGAAATTTTCAAGTATTCAGGATGGAAGTTCATGATCTACTTCTATGGCTATCCATCTATCCCAATGTCTACAGAACATGCTTTCCAGTGAACCATTGATAATGCATCTACTCCTTTCTGCTCAGAAATCATTAATTTAGAGCCCATTAGTATAAGCGCATAACAAGGATGGTTTTGCATTTGATTAACACTGAATGTCTTCAAACACTTTATTGTTTGAGTTTCTAAACCATTTCTGAATTGCTTTTAGTTTCTATTTATGCTATTTTTAACTAGATATTAACTGTCTTCTTGTAATGCTGCTTTTAAAGTTATACATCAGGGTTTATTTCCTTTATAAAAGCAACTATATTGATAAAGAAAAATTACACTTCAAAACAGTGCTATTTTAAGCAAGATAATATCATGCCAAATTTGAAATTATGACAAGTATTACAACATAGATATTTGAGAAAGGAAAGCTGCCTTGGAATCAAATTATCCAATAATCTTACACAGCAAGGAAATACAATTTTGTCTGACAGTTGTTAGTAATTTCTAGTGACTCTGCCTTTGTTCACCTGCCCTGTTTTTTTTTCCATTTCCCTTGATCATCTTCAGGAGTTCGTTCCATATGCTATCAATGAGAAGCCTTTACTGAATTGTAAGATCTATTGAATACACTCACCTGCTCTAAACAATTAACAAAGTTGCAAAATGACTGCAGTGTCAAAGTGACTGTAGAGTAATACCTCTTTACCTGAAAATTCTACATTGCACATGTACCTTTGTGCATTAGAATGACTGACGTACATGTAGTAGTTACAATGTTTTGTTATAAAAGCTAGATGTTCCAAGATGGTCCTGTTGGCAGAATTTTCAATGAATATTCTGATTGCTCAAATATGTAATGTTAACTTCATTGGTCACACTAAATTTTACTAGTTCTAAAGCACCAGTGGCAGAACAGTCTATTACTTCAGTGACTCTTAACAAATAAATATTATATAATTATTTGCAAGACCAGGTATAGATTTTTCATTATTAATGATTGCTTACTACTGGAAAAAAAAAAAAAAACAAACAAGCATTTCCAGTTCTGAAATGGATAGTTGATATATGAACACAAAGGTGCAGGAGAGTGACAGAAGAGCCTTAAGATGGAAAAACCTTGTTTCCATTGCACATAAGCAGAGATTGATAAGAAATAATGGAGAAGTTAGGATGCTATGTCACAATGCCATTTTTACAGAGATTTGCAGAGAAGTAATTTAAAACCTTTTCCATGAAGAGATGGCTTATTGTTTAGTTATTGTAATGACTGCTCTACCAGTACTGATGCTTCACAAATGCAAGATAAAGCAGAACAGCAGTTGGCTAAAGACCCATGGTAACAGAAAAATTCAGCTTAAATGGATTCTTAACTATTTTTTGAATTTAAGAGAAATGAGAATAGAATCTAAGTCATTCTTCCTTATTCACTTTTGTTCCTGTCAGCAGCAGAGATAAGAGCAACAATAATGTATTTCAGTTACCAGTGATGACAGATAATGTCAAAAGCTGCCTTGACAGAAAAAGGTCACTTTTCCCCCTAACTGTTGTAAAAAGTAGCAAGCATTTTTCACTTAAAAAAAAAAAAAAAAAAAACACATTAAAAATACACATTTCAAATTTAGTTGATTTTTTGCTGTCTTTTTTTTTTTTTTTTTTTTTTTTTTTTTCCCTCTTTTGTATATAATCCTCACACTGGCCAGTCTGGTAGGGTAATTGTGAGAAAAATTGAAAGGAATAATCTCTTACATACCAGAAATCATTCAAATTTTGAATTAAATGAGTTTTGAATGTAACAGTATTTCCTCTTAAATCAACAAATTTTGTTTTATAATAGTTTATCATATCAATTTGTTTTACAATCACTCAATATGCATTGATTCTGAAATAGACATTGATGTTTTTTTGTTTTCCCTCTTTTGCAGGTCCTCCAGTTAATGTCACATGCAACATATTTATAAACAGCTTTGGATCCATTGCAGAGACAACCATGGTGAGATATCTTATCTCAAAAAAATGTTTAAAGTTCAAGTTAAATATATTTAAAAATCAAGATAGAACTTCTATTAATACAGAACTAAGTGAAATAAATCCTCTTCTGAAAACAGAGCATTTAATTTAGCAATTGAATTTTTTTTGAATTTTTGAATTGTTAAATGAATTATATTTTAAATTTCACTCCGTATAGTGCATATGAGGATATATACTTTATTTAACAAGTTTTTTTTTTGTTTTTTTTTTTTGTTTTGTTTTGTTTTGTTTTTTAAATAGACACGGTGCAGAGAGAGTAGAGTCATAGAATGGCTTGAGCTGAAAGGAAAATAAAGGACTGTCTGGTTCCAACCACCCTGTCACGAGTAGGGTTGCTTTCTACTACATCAGGCTGCCAATGGCCCCATCCAGCCTGGCCTTGAACACCTCCAGGGATGGGAGTCCACAGTTTCTCTGGACAATCTGTGCCAGTGCCTCACCAAATAGTTTCTTCCTTATCTCTAATCTAAATCTCATTTATTTATTTATTTGGAAAACCTTCCCTCCTTGCCCTATCACTAGCCTTGGTCTTAGGGGAAGTGTTGCATCATAATGCTGATATTCTGATCGTAATATTCACTGACTGCTAAGTGCAGAACTTTTGCTTATGGTCAGCAGCTGTTGAACTCTTAGAGACTCAGATCTCACATTTTAGAACAAGTGCCTTTATGCAGATAAGACTTTTGATTGTATGTATTATTAGCTACTTCTCCGCTGAACTGAAAAGGAATATCTTCTGAAAAGATGTTAGCACCTTTATCTTAAAATTGCAGTTAAAAATATCTTGAATCATTTTAAACCTGAAGTACTGCCTTACTAAAGGAAAATAAATTCACCACATTTTTACCAATTTTATCTATTCTCACTACTTTACCAATTGTTATTTACTATAATCCTTACAATTCAGACATCTTTGTAAATCTTACACATTCTCGATACGTACTCCTTTTTCCAATCTAAAACAAAACAAAAGAGCTTAGAAGCAAAAGGTACAAAATAAGACCTGTCATGTGGTATCTGGAAGTTTCTCTGGAATGTAAAAGGAGCAGCTGAGTAATGGGATATGCATACAGTGCATTATCTTACAGAAACCTGTATATTAGTTCCTATTCTTCGCTGCCATTTTAGTTGATCTTGGTACTAACTTTCTGTTTCTCTTATTGATGACCAAAATCTTTGAGCTCCCTCTGCTGCCTTGGTTACAAATAACACAATAAACAATTACAGAAAGAGAATGGGTTAAAAAACAGGCAAAAAAGAAAAAAAGAAAAAAGAAAAAGGAAGGAAACCAAGAAGTTTGTCAGTGGGATCTTACAGTGCACAGCAGGGCTCAAATTTCTGTCAGAGGTTGTCTCAAACTCATCCACCTCCATCTACTCTTCTGCAGTGAGGTCTACTAGTTCACTTGCATTTTGTTAATGGTTGAAATTGGTACTTTTCACCTTTCCTTTTTTTCCACAGTTCTTTAAAGCACAGGCTATAGTTATTTCCTTTATCTCAGAAGACAAATCAAGTGCTTTTTAGCACGAAAAATGGTATGCCACTTCTTACTAGGAAGCTGTGATTCAAATTAAATCTAAGTAATTTTAATTCATCAATGGCAATGAAAAATAAATATAATTTTAAATTCTCTTTAAACAAACTTTCATAATTGATATATCTTGAATCATAGAATCATCTAGGTGGAAAAAGACTTTCAAGATCACTAAGTCCACTCATCACCCAAGTCCTGTCATGTCTTTTAGTACAACATCCAAATGTCTCTTAAATACCTCCACCACTTCCCTCGGAAGTCCATTCCAGTGTTTTCTGTCCTCTCCATGAAAACTGGTTTCCTTATATCAAAATGTAAACTGCCCCTGATGAAACTTGAGGCCATTCCTTCACATCATATCATCACCTAAGAAAAGAGACTGACAACTTTCTCACTGTAACCTTCTTTCAGGTAGTTAAGAAGAACGATGAGGTCTCCTCTCAACCTCCTCCAGGGAAAATAATCGCAGTTCCCTCAGCCACTCCTCATAACACTTGCATTCTAGTCCCTTCACCAGCTTTGTTGATCTTTCCGTACGTGCTTGAACAACACAGTAATCTTATAGTGAACTGAACACAGTATTTGATGTGCAGTCTCACCAGTGCTACAAGTGTCCAGCCTTAACAATCTGTGTTACTGAGCTGAATAGCAGTACCAGAGCTGAATATGTCTCAGTCATATTGACAGAATGGCCAGGGTTGGAAGGGACCTCAAGAATCATGAATCTCCAACCCCCCTGCCACATGCGGGGCCACCAACCTCCCCATTTAATACTAGACCAGGTTGCTCAGGACCCCATCCAATCCAGCCTTTAACACCTCCAGAGATGGGGCATCCACAACCTCTCTGGGCATTCACATTCATTCTCTTGCCAAATAAACTCTTACTGATCTGCATTTACTGATGTAAGTGACTAGGTCCAATCCTTCACTTCTTACTTGTTGTTACTATTCTTTTTTTTCTTTTCTTTCTACTTATAGATTTAGAAATCTAAGCAACAGCAGGATGTTAACAAAACATGGAAGACAAGATTTTTTTTTAAATATAATTGCACAATATTATCAGAAGTTTTGTATTTAAGATAAAAGGAAAGTATCTGCACACACAACTTCAAAAAGCTGAGAAACCTATCAGATTGCTTGTCCGTGTAGAGTTAAATATTGATTGGCAACATGGAAACTAAATCCTGCAGAAATTTATTTATTGTTGCACTGTAGTTTAAGTTTCAACTTCTATTACAACATACTTAGAGTGGCTTACAGTTTCTCTACGTAGCTTGAGTTATGTTCCACTTTGCAGTGCATAAGCTACTGCTTAGAGATTCTGTTGTTTCTAAGAGCAGTGTTAATACATATTGCTGGTAGCTACCACTAAAGCAGTGGTTATAGAACACTTGCTTAAGCTGTGGGACCAACTAAACAAAACTACTGCTTTCATTCCAGTAAGATTGACCAAATTCCTCAAAATTTATAAGTGTTAAAGGTCACTTAACACTCAATACAGTAGTACAGCTATATTTACTATGTATTATTATGCTTAGATTAATACATATTGATTGAAAAGGACACTTGCTGAGAAAAGTAATAGCAAATAACTTGTTAATTATCTGCATTGATGTCAAAAAGCATGTTTGTTATTTTTTCCTGCCACATGCCACATTCTGCCAAAGGATATTTCTTGACTCAGCCTGAAAAGACGTGTTGTCCCGAATGTTGTTAAGAAGCAGGTGGCATATGATCTTGTTACATCTGAGAGCACAGGAATATCTTGCATTTACAAATAAAATGTACTTTCAACTTACATTAACCCATTTTTAAGCTCTTTCAATTATTCTTCTAATTTTATTAGTTTCATCTTCAAGAAAGCATTTCTCTTTATGTTCTATTCTACCTGTTTTAGGTTGTCTTTAAATAGAGTATGTGAAAGGAGTGTTCACTTGGGTGTGTTGCAAAGTTCAAGGTAGATGAGTTCCACCAACTAATTTTTTCCTTACTCAAACATTTGGAGATGAGGAGAAATAGTTTCACCATGTTCATCTCCTGTCCTCTGGAAAGGTTATGAATATGACTTTATTATTTGATCACTTTCCCTAACCTTTTCTTGCTGTGTTATGAAATAACCATGCTCTCATATTCTTTGTAAGCAACTATAACTGAGGTTTTTCCTCAGAAGATGACTCCAGCTTTCTTCAGCTCATCTTATGATTCTGAAAAAGAAAACGTCTATGTTCACTCCTTGCTTCCTTTTAAGACTGATGAATGATTCAGTATGAAAATATCAAGACAACTGGGTTGGACCATTCCAGAATTAAATTCCAGAAATTTGAACAGCAAATGGGCTTTGCATCAATGAATACAACCTTGACTGTTACTTATTTGGTTTAAATGTAACAGTAAAAACAACTTATTAAATTGATTTTTAAAAAGGATCAGAAGCTTTCCTTTTGCTAGAATGGATGCCTTTGCAGAAGCTTATGGCAGGCTTCTTTCCCTAGTCCTTCAAAACAGTGGCTTTTAATCTGTTTCCAAATGCAACACTCCATGGAATTATTAGGCAGTAGAAGAGCTTAACCATTGGATAGTAGAGTATGAAATAGCTATCTGAAAGAAAGTTTTAGTTACAGGGATGATATCAATGTATTTTGTGTTTTTGAAAGGCAGTATATTTGATATGGATGTAAAGAAAAGCAGAAATATAAACTATGAATAGAAGTAAAATCTGAGTAGATAATTTTGCCTTAAAGAACAGCATTCAGTTAATTTTTCTTGTTTGTCACCATAAACCAGCAACAAGCAAACTGAAGACCAGGTGCCAGGTTTATTTTAGACAGAATCCTGAGGCCAAATTCTGCTGAATACTCTGGCAATAAATTGCAATTATACCTTCTAATGGAGAGCATCTCTTTTAGAAAATACTGGGAAAACTTTGAGGTCTCAAAACTTGCCCTAAATAATCCAATTCATGAGGAAGTGGATTATGATTTTTTCATTATTGCATGAAGTCAGCATCTCCACACTGACTGTGAAGTTACAGTCTAGAGTAAATGATACTGCAATGATAAAACACTGCTTGAAAATACTCTGAATATTTTTGATAGCTTTAGATGATTCAACTTAGTTGCAGTGTGCATCTTATACTAATGAATGCAATGCAACAAGTGAAAACAATTATATTCTTTGCATGAACAATTCATAGATGTGAAGAGATCTTAAGTTCAAACAAGTATTTGCACTGACTGCAGCAATATAATTGGCACAAGGAGAATAAAAGCATGCTTCTTTTTGCTGAAAGACGCCTTAAAAAGATAATTTAGGAGTGTAATGTACCGCGTGGTTTCCACAATGAAAAATTGAGATTTTTTCATTAAAAGCAACCAGTAGTTTACAGTTTACAGTCCTAGCTGTCATATATAACCAGGAAAATACTAA